TAATGGAGGTAAGCGCATTCTTGTGGTTGGTGACTCTCAGGTAAGATATATTGACCGTGCTTTTTGTAATAGGAATAAGATGATGAGAGATAGTGCGCTTCCCTGGAGCTGGTGTTGGGGACAGTCAACAGGCTGGATAATATCATGTCAGGTAATGGGAACAAGCCCATTATGTCTCAGTGCTGGTGGAAATGATATTGGGAAGGGTAGGAGAGAAGAGCTGCTAGTTAAGTACAGGTCAGCTATAGATTTCATTAAGTCTAAGGGAGGGATCCCAATCATATGTAGCATCTTGCCTAGAAGGGGAGTAGGAAATGAATGGTTGTCTAGGGCAATTGGTGTAAATTGCTGGCTAGACAGATACTGCAAGGAACTTGCAATCCCATTCATTGACAACTGGAACAACTTTTATGGCAAACATATGTATGCAAGGGATGGGGTACATCTCTCTGGGGCAGGGGTGGTAGCACTTGCAGACTCGATTGAGGTCATTGGTGAAATGCCTATGATTTTAAACTGATGGAAGATAGAGGTATGGGTGTGTGTGGGGAAACAAGCAGGTTGCAACACTAGGGTTGGAGACAGTAAATGTATAAAAGGCATTCAGCATGAAGTTATAAATAAAGACAATAGATCAGGTCAGCAAACAAAGGAGGACAGCAGAGGGCAGCAAGGGACTAGCTCCCTTAAGGTTTACTATACTAATAGCAGGAGTGTAAGAAATAAGATAGATGAACTAAGATTAATTGCAAGTGCAGGAAACATATTATTGCTATAACAGACCTGGCTCAATCTGAAAGATAGAGATGCGCCCTCTGAATGTCACATACAAGGCTATAAATTATTCCACACTGACAGGGTCAACAGGAAAGGTGGTGGAGTAGCGATGTATGTCAGAGACAATTTAAATTGTTGTTAGACAAGATATTAAATTAGAAGCGTCAGCCACTGAATCTGTTTGGTTACAGCTTCTCGAGGGCCGAGAAAAACTAATTTTGGGTGTGATTTACAGGGCCCCAAATCTTGATAGGGAGTGCAGTAAACTTCTATGGGACGAAATTCGTAAGGCATCTACATACGAAAATGTTGTGCTAATGGGAGATTTCAACTACAGACAGATTGACTGGAGCAATTTGACAGGAAATTGTCAGGTGACTTTCTTGATACGATCCAGGATTGTTTTTTAAAACAGTTTGTGACAGAGCCAACTAGGGGAAATAACCTCCTTGACTTGGTTCTTGCCAGTAGGGAAACACTAATTAATAATCTTGAGGTTAATGATGAGCTTGGGGAAAGTGATCACAAATCACTCAGTTTTAATATATCATGGAATTCCCCTAATAATGGCAATCAAGTCTCTGTCCTTACTTTCGCTTGGCTGATTTCATAGGACTGAAAAATTACTTAGGTGGGCTGAACTGGAATGACCTGACTAAGGGTCAGGTAGGTGGTGATGGTTGCCGATATGCTTTCCAGGGCATAGTTCTAGCTGCTCAGTCAAATTATGTTCCAAATAGGGAAATCAGATCAAACAAAAATGATCCTAAATGGATGAACAATAGATTAAAATATCTGATTGGTCAAAAGAGAGGCATATATAGGCAAATCAAAAGAGGAGAGGGGCAATTAAGAAATCGATATATTCAGTTAGAGAGAAATAAAAAAGGGAATTAGAAAAGCAAAAAGAGATTATGAGGTTAAAGTTGCAAGAGAATCGAAGACTAACCCAAAAGGATTCTTTCAGGTATACAGAAGTAAGATCAGGGACAAGATAGGCCCACTCAAAAGTTCCTCGGGTCAGCTCACTGACAGTGATAAGGAAATGTGTAGAATTTTTAACACATACTTCCTCTCAGTTTTTACACAGGAGGATACCAGCGATATTCCAGTAATGATAAATTATGTAGAACAGGACGATAATAAACTGTGCACGATTAGGGTCACAAGTGACATGGTCCTTAGGAAAATAGATAAATTAAAACCTAACAAATCCCCAGGCCCTGATGAACTGTATGCAAGGGTTCTAAAGGAATGTAAAGAGGAGCTTAGCACACCTTTGGTTAATCTTTTCAACATATCACTACAAAGTGGCATGATGCCAGATAAGTGGAAAATGGCAAATGTGATACCTATTTTCAAAACAGGTGACAGGTCCTTAGCTTCGAACTATAGACCAACAAGCCTAACCTCCATAGTGGGAAAATTTATGGAATCAATAATTGCCGAGGCAGTTCGTAGCCACCTTGAAAAGCATAAATTAATCAACGAATCTCAGCATGGTTTTACAAAGGGGCGTTCCTGCCTTACGAATTTATTAACTTTCTTCACTAAGGTATTTGAGGAGGTAGATCATGGTAATGAATATGATAGTGTATATGGACTTCAGTAAGGCTTTTGACAGGGTCCCACATCAGAGACTATTGAGGAAAATTAAGGCACATGGAATAGGAGAAATTTTTTCCTGGATAGAGGCATGGTTGACAAATAGGCAGCAGAGAGTTTGCATAAATGGGGAGAAATCAGTGGGGAAGCGTCACGAGCGGTGTTCCACAGGGGTCAGTGTTGGGCCCCCTGCTGTTCACAATCTACATAAACGACATAGATGAGGGCATAAAGAGCGACATCGGCAAGTTTGCCGATGACACCAAAATAGGCCGTCGAATTCATTCTGACGAGAACATTCGAGCACTCCAGGAAGATTTGAATAGACTGATGCAGTGGTCGGAGAAGTGGCAGATGCAGTTTAATATAGACAAATGCAAAGTTCTAAATGTTGGACAGGACAATAACCATGCCACATATAAACTAAATAATGTAGATCTTAATATTACGGATTGCGAAAAAGATTTAGGAGTTCTGGTTAGCAGTAATCTGAAACCTAGACAACAGTGCATAAGTGTTCGCAATAAAGCTAATAGAATCCTTGGCTTCATATCAAGAAGCATAAATAATAGGAGTCCTCAGGTTGTTCTTCAACTCTATACATCCTTGGTTAGGCCTCATTTAGATTATGCTGCACAGTTTTGGTCACCGTATTACAGAATGGATATAAATGCTCTGGAAAACGTACAAAGGAGGATGACAAAGTTGATCCCATGTATTAGAAACCTTCCCTATGAGGATAGACTAAGGGCCCTGAATCTGCACTCTCTAGAAAGACGTAGAATTAGGGGGGATATGATTGAGGTGTATAAATGGAAGACAGGAATAAATAAAGGGGATGTAAATAGTGTGCTGAAAATATCTAGCATAGACAGGACTCGCAGCAATGGTTTTAAGTTGGAAAAATTCAGATTCAGGAAGGATATAGGAAAGTACTGGTTTGGTAATAGTTGTGGATGAGTGGAACAAACTCCCGGGTACAGTTATAGAGGCCAGAACGTTGTGTAGCTTTAAAAATAGGTTGGATAAATACATGAGTGGATGTGGGTGGGTGTGAGTTGGACCTGATAGCTTGTGCTACCAGGTCGGTTGCCGTGTTCCTCCCTTAAGTCAATGTGACCTGACCTGACCTGACTAGGTTGGGTGCATTGGCTTAAGCCGGTAGGAGACTTGGACCTGCCTCGCATGGGCCAGTAGGCCTTCTGCAGTGTTCCTTCGTTCTTATGTTCTTATATCACGAAGTCGTTTTTTCCGGGAAATGTAATACCCTGGACCAAAGCGGTGGTGGCATGGTCCATGCATACTTAAGTTTGTATAACAGGGCCACAGGAGGGAGTGAATCTGGAAGATGGTGGGACCAAGAGCCAAGTATTAACTCCTGCAACCACGCATACCTGGAGGGCATTCCCAGGGTCAACACCCCTGCGGCCCGGTCCATGACCAGGCCAGGTGGGGAAGCTCTAACCCATACTCTCAGGCCAGTCATGGTAGTAGGCAGATACATATTGGTAGGCACACGTTTGCGCGCACATACACACAAACTTGGTATGCATACATATATACATAATGAAGGATTGTGTGTAGGGGGGGGGGGAGGACGTTGAACACCTGGGATAAATAAATAAAGTTTCTAACATTACTTAAACCCATATAGCAAGTTTGTCTACAGCATTAGTAGTAAAGAATGGTTCTTGTACACAAGTAGAATAATTTATTTGGAAGAGCCGGGAATGTTAAGATATCAGAACTGTTGTGGTGAAGACGGCGTTTGTGAGTCACTTCACTCCACTGCCCCTCTTTTAACACTTTCTGCTGCAGTGCTGTGAGCACTGTTAGGTATCATATTTTGTCAACGAGTGAAGGACTGTCCCCTTAGTGTTAGATCTAAACGTGGATGTAGAAGTCTTTCAGAGAAGGCTCAAAGAAAGTAATAACGGTATAAAGATGGTGGGCGGTGGTGGTGAGAGGTTGCCAACGCTTGGTAGTGAGGGCGGGGCTGCATCAGTTTTAAGTCTGCGCGACGCCCGGGTGGACGTGTGCTTTAACTAGCATACGTTTCTAGACCTTTCCTGGAATCTCTGAAGACCTCATCAACTTGCTCTTGATTTATATACTACCTGAGCTTCGCGGTTTAAGTCTCTTCCAGGCGGAGTGGAGAGGGATTTAGATTTGTAGATTGCGTTTTGTAACAACATTCAACGTTGTTTAAATCTAAGTGTAGTTAAGCGATTGACAGTAATACCAGTGTTTAGTTACCACCATGGTCAGGTAGTTAACGGTTCTCTACTTACCTGTGACCTTGTGTACCTGTATCTTTTTGTTTATTGGCATAAAACTTGCTATGCATTTTCAACGCAATTTGTTGCATTGAAGTCGTTGACCAAGTGGATTCGCGTGTAATTTCTAATGCTGGGATGTTACCGTGACCTCTACTTCTGTATATTGGAATGTAACACGTGCCAGTAAAACACGTGTGGGTTCAATGGTACTCGAAAAGGTCCTAAGAGTGAAATATGAAATAGCCCATCTATTTTGTACGGACTGTATACATCATTACGGGTATAAACTTTGGGTTGGTGCATATTTATAAATGGTAATAGCATATTAAAACTCCATATTTCGTACTGTAGTAAAGTAAAACTTAAACCTTTCGTTGCCAGTACTCCTATTTTAATTCATTCAGACTCGCAAAATCGTAATAACACGATTGCAAACTAGTTACAGAACAGGTGGGACTCGAACCCATGGCAAGGTAGTCTTAAAACTCGCAGGCCCACTAGTGTATTTACCACTGAATGAATCTTAACCACTAGTTTATGCTTTCCTAGCACGTTGTGCTGAGCCTGATACGTGCCATGGGTTCGATCCCCACCCGTTGTGTTATCAGTACTTATTCGTATAACTTTGTTAAATAAGTTGAAGAATACCAGACATTACTGCGCAAGTTCCCTTTAGTCTAGATCCGGTTTCTTCTGATTCTCCTTAATGCGTCTTGGTCCAGGAAGTGGCGAAAGATGGAGGCAGTGACTGTACTACCTAAATCCCTCTGTTGAGTTTCCTTGATGTTGGCGAGAAGCTCTTGAGCCAAGGAATAAGACTCTTGTTTTCCCCTTACGTGATTGCCTCCCATTCCCAGGGTGTTGTATGAGCCTTAGGAGTTAGCGCTTCCCTAAAGTTGTAATGTACCACCTGAAATAAAATGCAATTGATGTTTATTTGAGGATAGTGGCAGAGGGTGATGTTGGATCTTAAGTACATCAAACTAGCATTAACCGCCAAGTAAGCATGGTTCTTGCTCAAACATTACAAGATATGTATCGGGGTAGCAACAGAATGTGGTATCTAATTTAGATTAAAAAGTGTTAACGTGTAGCACGTGAGCAGTGACAACAGTCTCGTTGAGTACCGAGCGCCCAAGCTGCTGACGTGAGCTTAGGCTCTTCCTGGGATAAATTGCCTTGAATATGAAAGGGAGTCATGTTGACATTGTCAACACGACATATTTTGGATCATTGTTGATTAAAATAAAGATGTAGATGATGGCAACATAATTGGGTAATCCTGGAAATTCAGTGCACAGAAATTCAAATTGTATGATTTTTTTTTTTTCAGCTGAATGACCTTATCGCCCCCTCTCATACCAAACTTGGTAATGTTGCTTTCAGTGCAGGTGTTGTGGTGAAGGCCAATAGTAAATGGGAGTTATTTTTTCTCCCCATAAATTGGGTATTTTAAAAATGTTGAGCATGGGTTAGTGTAATTTAAGGTAATTTTCCTGCATTGAGGAGAGGTAAATATTTAGTTATACCGTAGGTGGTGGCTTCAGATTAAATATAATGTTTTGTATAGTATTGTGCTTTAAGAATTTAATAATCGCATAAATATTAATCTAGTTCTGTATAAGAACACTGAATCCTAACCATAGTAAAGAGCATTATACATAGTTTTACTCTTTTACACCATTTTCTTTTTCCCGCAAAAATAGGGCGGCACCAAAAATTAACCAGGGTGTGATGACTAGGTCAGCAGGCTTCCAGCAGGAAAGTTGTCAGTCGCAGGAAACTCGTTTGTTATATACTCCTTCAACAGATAGATGTCTTGCCAGAAGCATTTGGACATGTGGGCACATTGCCCTCTGAACTGTAACATCCCCCATCAAGTGCTGTTTCCACTTCTAGAATTCAGTCATTGCTTGGAGATAGTTTGGGGGGTCAATGCCTCATTGGCTTGATCCCAAGTTAGGCTTCCCAGTAAGAGTTAATGATTACTTAATAAGTTAGCATAATTTAGTGTGGCTTTCATTGTGCTTAGTACAGATGTGTTAACTGAAGATACTTTTGGGCGTTGGTGCCCCACATCCTGGTCCTAGACCAGGCTTCCTGGTGGATCAAGCCCTGATCATCTAGCCTGTTACTAAAATTGGGTGAAAAAAGTTAGCAGTACATGATAGGGGAGAACTCCTGGGTTGAGGCATAAGTGACCAATAAGCAAGATTCCATCAAATAGAAAAATGACTGGATACATCTTCAGTGGTTTGCCCAGGATCAGTATTGGGACCCATAATCAGTCTGCAGAAATGACCTGGCATGTAAACAAATGCAAGCTCTAATCCTAGCTAAAGAAAATAGCTATGGAACTTGTAAGCTAAATTTTACAGTAATCTTAGTCAAACTAAATGGAGAAACTTCTGGTTAGCCAAAATTTAAAGCAAAGATGACGTGGCGTAAAGTTCACAATAAAACAAGAAGTACATTAGGCCCCCCACTCCTATATCCACGGGGGGGATGCATTCCAAGACATACTGTGGATACCAAAACTGCCCATAGCAAACCCTATACGTACAACCTCTCCTCGCTTTACGAGGGAGTTCAGATCTAAGAAACGCAGGTAAGCGAATTCGTTGCTAAGCAAGGGGCACTATAATGGTAGTAGGTTTGTCAACCAATTTAGATGGTTTTAATGTCACCTTTACACCATTTATAACATTTTTAGTATATTTTTAAGTTTATACAGGTGTACTGTATATTAAACATAAAGGAATTCAGCTCTAATATACATTTAGGTATGCATACGTACTCCTTTACCGTCGACTCTTAAATCTGAGTTGTCGGTAAATGAGTATCACTGAGGAGAGGCTGTAGATACGTAACTTGTACACTTATGTATGTACGTATGATAAAATTTAATTGATGAATTATGCACAATAAGCATAGAATTGTCACTTTCACTGATGGGAAGTACTTCACAGCTTAGACTTTGAAGAACTGTCAGTATCACTGTTTGTACTTGGGGGGGGGGGGGCATTAAGCATGGTAAACGGAAACGGCAGAAACCGAATCCACAGGTATGGAGGTTCTGCTATGTAAGCAAATCCAAAGATTTTCAACATTATTATGGAGGGGTAAACTGTGTGGAATGGGGGGTAGGTACTTTAGCCATACAGTTGGAGAGCTTTCTAAAACCATTGATAAGGTTTTTCATATTGCTCAACCTTGACTACCTGATCATGGCATTACAGTATACTTGTAATACCTTGCAGAGTTAATCACCCTCCTGGTGGAGAGACCCAGTTGAACAATGAAGTTGGACCAGAAAACTTAACAGTTAGGCAAGTCTTCTAATTTTTGTAACTTGATAAATATGCTAAATGAGGTTATTTGTAGCCTAAAGATAATACATAAGCATATTACTCTTGCAGGGTGCTGAAACCTCCTGGTGGTGGGTCATCTATCTCCTTTGGAGAAGACGAGGACGCTAGGCCCAGGCCGAAGACTCTTCCCCAGCAGCAAGCTCCACAGGAAAACTCCCCTAAAGCAGACACAAATGGTACGGCCTCCCCTCAGTGTGAGAATGATGCTGCTGCCACAAAGGAAAATAATCCATTGGCTGCTACCAATGGGTCTGCTACTAATGGCTCACCCTCTGTTGGTTCCAACAGTGGTAGGTCCTCTAATTGTGCAACTACTCCAACTTCTGCAAAAAAATTAGATACACAGAGCCGCCTCTTCGGAGATGATCCAGGCAACGATACCACCCCTAGTCGCAAAGTGAGGGATCACCAACGAAGCAACATCTTCTCAGACGAGCCAGTGACAAAGCCTAGTGGAAGTGCCAATGGGCCCCGGGCAGGTATGCAGTATTTAAGAATGGCCAGCTGGGATTTTACTAAAATATCTTGACTTATTTGGGTGATTTTTTTTATACATTGAATGTATGGGCTATTAACATGTTGGCAAACTGCATTCTTAGCATTTAACTCTTCATAAATAGCTTTTGAAAAATATTAGCACTTACAAAGTCTGTTGTGTAATACATAAACAGTTTATAGCAGTGGGATACAATTTTTTTTCTTTTTAACTACCTTTATCCTATTCTAATTTTTCCTTAATCCTTCAGAAATGGCTTCAATTTTTGGTTCTTCAGTTTTTTTTTTTTTTTTTTTTTTCTCCCTAATCAATCGTTCATTCTAAATTGTTCCATTTATAAAATAATCTCCAAGGACTGCATCACTTTTAACAGTATTGTTAATGTTGGAATTTTCAGCCATTTCCTAGTAGTGCTCTTGTTAATCATAGGTACAGTACCTGGTCATTCTACGATGCAATTTTTCTTGGAAGAATAGTACTAATGCCCTAAAAAGTTAGGAACTGTTAGAATAAAAGTACGGTACAGTCAAAAAAATAGCAATGGTTATAGAAATGTTACAAGCAGTTGTGCTACAAAAGTGTAGTTCAAACACAAATGCGGCACAGTTATAACAGAATATTTTAGATACCAGGTAATGGAAAATAAAATAAAATAGCATGGTTATGACTTTCACTAATCAGTGATGTAATTTTAGTGGAAAAGATGTGCAGATTTTGCACTGGGAGGAAGATCTCTTGGTTGGTTAAGCTCAGTACAAGCAAGGAGGTGAACCTTTACTACATGGCATTGGTTACGATTGTGGTTGTTTGGTTCAAGTAGATTAGTTGTGTGTTTAGGTCCCATTCATTAATCTAGAGCTCATGACCTTAACTTCTTGCTTGCCAATTCATTCCCTTTCCCCAAATGCTGGGTCACTATAATTGGTGGAGCAGTTAGTCTTGTTCATTCTTCCACCCCAGGTGTTTTAACTAAACAAATTCCTTCAAGGCATATAAATAGTGTAGGTATTTCTTTTCATCTAATATTTGACAGCTCAAGGCAAAGACCTATAATGACCTAGTTTGTGGAATGCAGCTAATCATATTTTTTAATCTTGTTTACATTATTTCTTTAATTACAATAACTGGTTATGCAGGAGCTTGATATGCTCTTCGTGATATTTGATGTTCTAAGTATTAAATAACCAAAAGGTCCCAGGGCTTTAGAATTCTTATTGTAAGTTGCTTTACAGTACTTTCCAGATTCTCCACTTAAGTATGTACTTAGACTTGACAGTGTTCAAGATGGACAGAAATGTGATTTGCTGTATTTTCAGTTTATGGGTATATTTTTAATGTTCCATCACTGTTACCCTTCAAGGGGCCTTGTTGCCAGTGAGGGGTCTCTTGATCTAGGGATTTGGCCCTATTCTTTCCTTCATGCAAACCTGCTTGCCTCCTGTTTCCCCAGGTGATGTGATTTTCAAACAAGTTCAGTGCTTGCTTCTACCATAAACATAATAGAGTACTGTTAACACTTAGTGGGTAGGATTCATTATTTAAAAGGCTGATGCCATTTGTGTATCACTTTAACTATCCTACCAAAGTTTTTTTCTCGAGTACTGTACCTTGTACTTGTGCAGTCAGTGCTCTGTAAATGTTACCTTTACTACCTAGTTCTAATACTGGCAAGGAGCTGTCTGAAACTGAGGAAATTAGTCTATTATATATATTGGTTATAGCCTATTGACAGACTGGGTTTGGTAGTTGGCCATTAAGCATACTAAATGCTGGTGGCGAAAGTATTTGCAACAAATTTTGGGGATGCAGTATACAGTAGTGGAAATGTACCAGCCAAGAAAAATGTTAAATATAGCATATCTGAAGATAGCATGCACAGTATTGTGCAGGTATAGCGATGAGGTGAAATTCGCTTAGTAAATCAGTGTACACTGCGTGGGGGGAAAGTCTAGGCATACACATATTGTGCGTGTGATTAGATTGGTAATGCTGCAGTAACTACAGGTCACTGAATATATTTTCAACTAGTTCAGGCAGACTCTGCCTTATAGCATTTTGCTAATGCAGCTTTTTTCAGTAATCACCATTCTTTATGTAGACTTCATGTATTATATTCACCACTTGCAATAAGTTAAGGCTGAAAATATTTAAAGGCAAGTAATGTGTACTGTATATGCATTTTTTAGGCCTATGTTGCTCACTAACATGTTTATACTCGTCAGGTTTTTATATTCATATGAAAGTGAATAAAGGCCGATTCACTTTAGTGGTAGTCTGGAACCTTATCTGCTGTTAGTGGGCCCCTGTACTTTGTTCTGTATGAATCTCGACATGCTTGATTCTCCCTTACCCTCTCCACCTTTAAATTTGCTTACTGTCAAATTCCTTGGTGTTGGCTTTGCTTTACAATGCAGTGTGGTCAGTTAACTATGTAATGATTGAGCTTGCGTTGGGTTTCCTGATCTTCAGACTGGTGTGTGGAAAGTAGCATTAGAGACCAGGAAAGTGATGATTGATTTTTGTTGCTGAAAAACTACAGCCCTTATCCCTGTTCAAATAATTTTTTATAGTTCTCACTATGGAGCATTTTATATACAGGAGGGCCCTGATTATATGACAAGTTAGGTTGCAGGCTACCTCTGTAAAGTGAATCTCCTTTGCTGCCCCCCCCCCCTTCACTTTTTTTAAGTGCATATGAATGCCTGATTTTTTTATACATATAAATACTTGTCATATATTACATAAGTAATAGAACGAGGCCAAAAAAAAAAAATTCAGTGCACTCATTACTTGCCTTAAAATATTTTTGCCCTTAGCTGATAGTGGTGAGTAGTATCAGTCCCTAGCAAATGCTAGTGTCTTGCAGCTTTGAAGCCGGGCATAGACGTCTCTGCATGCAAATTCTGTAAACAGTGAATTACCGACAGCACCCTGTTTTGTGGCAGCTTTTATGCAGGCTACTGCATTAATACAAAGATAATTTTTATACTATAATGTTAGGTGTACTTTGGGGAAAAGGCTCCATAAATGTACATATAATGTCAGTGTTTTGAGTGGACATGTATTAAACAGGCAGTTGGACATGTATTTGACATCCAACTGGGAATGACTAGTGACATTAAACAAATTATCTTCACTGTAATTCTGTAGCCTGCATAACAGCAGCACACCATGGCTTACAGCAACATACCCTTTTGAGAGTGAGTAACACTTATTTGAGTAAAGGCACACAAGTTTTCCTGGTAAACCCCCAGTAATATACAGTTTCTCTGGTAGTAGTGGACTAGTTTTATTGTGATTGTCATAAACTCCTTTGTCCGTCCGGCTACCATAGCTCACAATTATGTAAATTTGTTCAAATGTGGTTCTATATTATATTTATGTAATATGTAGTGTTTCTTGTATAATTTTGAAAAACATATCGTAGATGGATTAATGAATGTGCACAAGACATTTAAAGTGCCTCAGTGACATGCTGCTTTTGTTGCATCAACACTAGTGAGACTTAGCTACTCCTACTGTGTAACTATGCCATAAATACAATTAGTACTCTCTCGGCCATAGACATGCCTCTCACTGAGTTCAATAATTTCTAACTGTGTGCTTACTTTTTTTTTTTTCCACACTACCTTTGGATGCCATTGTAAAAGTATAAAAAAAAAAAATAGGCAATCACTTTAAAACACTTGAAACGTTGGAAAGCTTCTGGACAAAATAGAGAAGCGGAGCTCAGAGGATGTAAACAAGCAGAAAATGATGCACACACTCAGCTAGGAGCTCAGGCTGTGAAGGAGAATTAGGAGCCATATAAACAAATTTTTGGGTACAATTTGAAACTATTTTAGGAAAGTTCCCTGAACCGGGACACTTTTGTTCACCTGGAGAGAGTTCCGGGGGTCAACGCCCCCGCGGCCCGGTCTGTGACCAGGCCGCCTGGTGGATCAGAGCCTGATCGACCAGGCCGCCTGGTGGATCAGAGCTTGATCAACCAGGCTGTTGCTGCACACAAACCAACGTACGAGCCACAGCCCGGCTGGTCAGGAACCGACTTTAGGTGCTTGTCCAGTGCCAGCTTGAAGACTGCCAGGGGTCTGTTGGTAATTCCCCTTATGTATGCTGGGAGGCAGTTGAACAGTCTCGGGCCCCTGACACTTATTGTATGGTCTCTTAACCTGCTAGTGACACCCCTGCTTTTCATTGGGGGGGATGTTGCATTGTCTGCCAAGTCTTTTGCTTTCGTAGCGAGTGATTTTCGTGTGCAAGTTCGGAACTAGTCCCTCTAGGATTTTCCAGGTGTATATAATCATGTATCTCTCCTGCCTGCGTTCCAGGGAATACAGGTTTAGGAACCTCAAGCGCTCCCAGTAATTGAGGTGTTTTATCTCCATTATGCGTGCCGTGAAGGTTCTCTGTACATTTTCTAGGTCAGCAATTTCACCTGCCTTGAAAGGTGCTGTTAGTGTGCAGCAATATTCTAGCCTAGATAGAACAAGTGACCTGAAGTCATCATGGGCTTGGCCTCCCTAGTTTTGAAGGTTCTCATTATCCATCCTGTCATTTTTCTAGCAGATGCGATTGATACAATGTTATGGTCCTTGAAGGCGAGATCCTCCGACATGATCACTCCCAGGTCTTTGACGTTGGCGTTTCGCTCAATTTTGTGGCCAGAATTTGTTTTGTACTGAGTAATTGAAATTTCTCATCGTTGAACTTCATTTTGTTTTCTGCAGCCCACTGAAAGATTTGGTTGATGTCCACCTGGAGCCTTGCAGTGTCTGCAATGGAAGACACTGTCATGCAGATTCGGGTGTCATCTGCAAAGGAAGACACTGCTGTGGCTGACATCCTTGTCTGTCGGATATGAGGATGAGGAACAAGATGGGAGTGAGTACTGTGCCTTGTGGAACAGAGCTTTTCACCGTAGCTGCCTCGGACTTTACTCTGTCGATGACTACTCTCTTCTGTTAGCGAGGAAATTATAGA